CCAGTTTAAGTTAGGAAAAGGGCACATTTTATTAAAATTATTCACATTTATCTAAACTAACTAACAATTAAAAATGTAATAAAATTAATCTAGATGTTATCTAGATTATCACACATCAAAGCTAGAGCAGCATTTCATTTATTGTCTTCATGAATGTGGTGCTTCATTAAGTTTATGAAAACAAAATAAAAAATAGGCCAACATTATAATTATTCTCAGCAACAAACCTCTTTAGTGATTAGATCCTATAAGAAATTGTAATCTTAAAAACAATCTTGCATGTCACCTAGATCAGATGACTTATGAGAAAGAAAAACTTTCTGCTGGAAAAAATGAAGAGAAAAAAATGCTGCAGAAGCTGCAGGGCAGGAAGTGCAAATACTCTTTAAAAAGTAAATTACCTATCAATGTCTCTAAAGTGAGTTTTAATCACTTTTTTCTATAGACCCACTTTATCTCAGCATATTAGTGAATGCAGTTTTATATGTTAAAGTCATATGAATTAAATGATTTACCGTCATATGCAACAACAAAAAAATGCATTATATGGTATTTGCTAGTGAAGTAAAAGGAAACATAGGAGGATTAAATAGTAAAATGAAATAAACCCTACAAAATTTTTGCTTTTATTTTTTATTATAGATTCAGTTGACATTTTACTCATAAACTTGTATTAGCAGTAAGACACACATAAACAAATAAATGCATTTGATAAAAACGTCGTTGACATCACTGTAATATATATATATATTTTAAGTAAATACAACAAAGACCATTGGACTCTACAAATATATATACTGTGTATGTATGTATGTATGTATGTATATATGCATACTATTTCAGTCTTTCCAGTTCAAATGTGTCAGTTGCTGTTTCTTTGTAATTTTTTGTGAACTTTTTTTATTTTTTTCCAGTGAAAAGTTTATTTATGACCTTCCCTAACATCATGGTACTGTATCAAATGTCAGATGTCATTACAATTAATATATAAAAAGTTTTATAGTTTAATTCTTGAGGAAGAAACTAATTGTCACTGTTGCCATAGAGGCTCTCATTTATCTTTAGTCAGGTGTTTTGAGATAATTATACTTAATTAAACCAATGCACTTAAAAGAGATATTCAACCATACAGATGCCATAAGACATGCCGTCATGGAATGACTTTAAATAGCAACCAACTTCACTACACACCCATCAATCACCGTTTACAACACAAAGATTTACATTTTAGATTGCCAAGCGGGTGGAAAAAACACCCAAGTAAAAGACGCAAAACATGCTTGATCATTGCAAAGATAACAAGGTCAAATTTCCTTTAAAAGTTTCTTAAATATCCAAGCAAATGAAATCTAGGTATAACAGATTCATGTATCAGCAGTTCATTTGAAAGATGAGATTATTTGACTAGAAGAGAGAAGTGATTACAATATTACAAATATGT